CCCGCCGTATGGCCCACTGGTCGGCGCAGCTGGTGCCGCACCCCTCCGTCAAGTCCGCCACAAACACGACGCTGCGCGGTTGAATGCGTGCGTGTGGCGGTTCGCGAGCCGTGACCAAACGTTTCAACGATCGAGTGTGCTTGATATGACACACACTTTGCTGGGCAGGCGGTCGGATCCGCCGCGTACCACACCTCCCAACCTAGCCCCCCTCACCCCCCCCCTTGGGGCGCCTGCTGGGAAGGTAGTTGAGTCCTGCCCACTGTATCCCAAACACACACACAGAGACACACACACACACACACACAGAGACACATGCACGCACAGACAAACACACACACACACACACAGGCCCCCCAATAGTGCGCGCCTGCTGGGGAGGTAGTTGAGGGCGGCCAGTGTGAGCAGCTCCATGGCGTTGCGCTGGTCATCCGGCCGCGCCAGCAGGCCGGGGGTGTCCGTCACCTGGGTATGTGTGTGGGAAGGGGGATGGATTTGGTTAGATGATGCGGCGTTTGATGGTGTGTCCGCGCGCGGCGTCCGCTCAGAAGGGGCAAGGGTTGGGTACTTGACAGGCAAAGGGGAAGAGGCGGGGGGCGCGGTGTGGGAAGACAGGGAGTAAGGGGGGCCGGGCCTGTTGGTTGGTGGGGCTGCCGTCGCCGCCAGCGGGCACTCGGGGCGGGCAGTTGGTTGTGTCTGTGCAACCACCGGTGGCGCACTGGTCAAACGCCGGTCAACCGGCTCTCAGGTGCGCTGCTTGCAGGCGGTGCAGCCCTGCGCGTGCCCACTGGGATACACGCACTGTGTCAAGGAAACTGGCCACGTCGGTCAAACCCGCCGGTCAAAGCCGGTCAAACACCTGGTGCTGGCGCGTGTCGACCCAGAAGTGGCCCATCTTGATGGACCGGGTGGTGAAAGGGTAGTCACAGACCTCTGGCGTCCCCGAAGACAGCACCTGCACGAGCGGTTCGAACAGGTTTGACCAGGATTGATCAAGTTTACAGTGTTTGACCGCGCATGTGGGGCTGGAAACAGGTTCGAAACAAATGATGATGAGCCGAGGAGGAAGCAAGGCCGCTGGGAGCGAGAGCGGGCACAATCAAACAGCACAAAGCGCGTCGATCGGACAGCAAATAACACCCAAGGTTTCAAACCCTCCCAAGCAAGCAAAGGAAAAGGCGTCCAAGGCGCGAAAAGCGCCAAGAAAAGGTCCAGCCCCCAGGCCGGACCGCACCTGCACGAGACTGCTCTTGCCCACGTTGGGCGCCCCCACCAGCGCGAGCGTCGGCAGCTGCGGCTCCACATAGGGCAGCGACCGCAGCTGCTTGCTGACGCGCTTGAGGTCTTCCACGTACCGCGCGCCCCTTGAAAACACCTGCAAAGGTTGGGTGTGTGTTCGGAGGGAAATTTATATGATTTTTGGGTTGCACCCAAACTGCCGGGCCCGGGGATGGGTTGTGTTGGCGGCGAGACTGAAGTGCGGGATTGCGGTCGCAAGGGGATGATGGGGCGCATGTGTGCGCACTGGAAAGGTAATGGTGGTTCAGTTGGTATGAAAGCCACGGCGCTAATCTGATGCTTCTGACATGCTGCGGTGGCTGCCCCGGCCTGCTTTTCCCTCGTGTGACCGGCAGCAAGCGCCGCCATCATCATGACATCACCACACTTCACACGCATGCACATAGCTTGCGACGCGCCGCCCACTGCTCAGATCCAATGCCCTTGCCTCGCCTAACACTTTGCGCACGTATTGGGACGACGGGTCGTCAGGGGAGCCGCATGCGTCAGTGCTGCAACAAATAATCCTGCGAATCTCTCTCGTTGCAAACCCCTCGCGCCTCACTGCCCCCAGGGCTCGCTTCAGCCAGAATAATGACATCGCCATGATGTCATCAGAAAGAGCCCCCCACCTTCTGCATCATCTCGGCCCCCTCCTCCGCGGCTGCCGCCGCCTCCCTCTTGCTGCCGGCTTTGGCCGCTTTGTTGGCGTAGGCCTTGCCCACCTCCTGCACCGCCTTGCGCAGGGAGTCCACCTGCACACACGCGCGCGCGCGCGCGTGCGTGTGCGTGTGTGTGTGTGTGTGTGTGTGTGTGTGTGTGTGTGTGTGTGTGTGTGCGTGTACGTGTGTGTGTGTGAGAGCGTGCGCATGAGTGCGTGTGCGTGTGTTGCCGGAGGGGGGGGGCAATAAGCTTGCGCGTTCCTACGTGCGTACGCACGTGTAGGGCGAGGTGCGAGCTACCAGCTCGGGCGTGGATCGAGCAGCACGCAAACAGCTCCGACCCCTCGCCCCGCTTCCCCCCTGCTGCACCCCGCGCCCCGCCCTCAACCCCGCGCGCAACCGCAGCGCAGCCGCGGCCCTGCGTCTCCGCGCCGACGCGGCCGCGGCGCCGTGCGCGGCCACAACAGAGAGGCGCACCTTGCCCAGGACGGACTGGTAGGTGCCGCGGCCCACAGTGAGGTCCAGCAGCGCAGCCTCAAAGGGGTGCAGCGCCGCGGCCTTGGGGAAGGCGGACAGGTACCTGCGCGGCCGTTCGTTTTGAATACATAGTGTGATGTGTAGGATGGCGCTATGTCGTGAGAGGGCGTCCTTTGTGGCAGCGTGTCATGTGTGGGAGGGTACGGTCTGCAGGAGGTGGCCCGAGACGGTCCGCGTGCGCGCTCGCTGCGCACGCGCCCGGCATCACGGCAAACGACGCACGCGTTCGGGCGCCCGGCCCGCGGGGTGGGCCTTGTCCCCGCTCCCTCTCTCTCGCGCGCGCGCGGGACACACGCGCCCTGGCCGCTGCAACCGGCGGCTTGCAGCGGAGCCGAGGCCACGAGGGCAGTGGCTGATTCACAAATGCTCCAACAGCTTTCAGTCCTCGACCTAGCCGGCCGCCGCGCCGGCCGCCCGGCCCGCCCGACCATCTGCGACCTCCGCACCCCGGCTCGAGGCACTCAACGAAAATCATATTTCAGCACGGAACCCCGCGTGGTACGGCGCCCGCCCCGGCCCGTCCGCGGCGCGGAGCGCGCCGCCGGCCGGCCGCCGCGCCCGCCGCGACCCTGATGTTGCGAACCCATACCCCCAAAAAAGCGCGAGCGGCCGCGGCCCGGCCCGCCCCCACCTCGTCAGTGGGACCGAAAGCTCCTTCATCAGGGTGTCCAGCTGCCGCGCCGCCCTGTTGCGCTCCTTCTCGGCCTCGTTCTTGATCGCCGCGCTCGGCGCAACGCGGCCCGCGCGCTTGACGGCGGACCGGAGCTGCTCGTCGGGCGGCGCCACTACGGGGACGGCCTGCAGCATGCCTGGGGCCGGCGGGGCGGCGGCGGCGTGGAGGGCGGGCGGGGAGCAGCGCGGGGGGTCGGCGGCGGGGCGGACGGCGGCCGTCACGCCATGCGCCGGCCATGCGCGGGCGTGCGCGGCTAGGGATTGCAGGGCGGGTCGCTGATCGCTGCAGCTTGATTTCAGGGGGCAGCTGCTCACTGGGTATTTCTAAGGTTTGATACAAGCCAACCGTGCGCATGTATGTGAGTGCTGAAATCACAGCAAGTGTGCAAAGCCCCAAGGTGCCTGTCCATTGCCCTCTATGCAAGAATCCTGATGCGACCACCGGCAAGTCAACCCAAGCTCAGCACACACAGCATGCGCTCACCCACGCGCTTCTTTGCTGGCTTCACGGGCTGTGCCATGATAAGAGGCATCGGCAGCTGCGGGAACGGCGCTGGGCCGCCACCGGCCCCGCCCGCACCGCTTGCGCTAGCAGCTGCAGCTGCCGCCGGCGTGCGCCCCCGTTGATGCTGCGCTTGCTGGGCGAGGGCCACCGCCTGCTCGAGCTTGCTACCCGCATGGAGTGGTGACCGCGTTTCATATCGACTACTCAAATGGCGCACGCACAGGCACCGCAGGGCCGACGAGGACTTCACCCCGCCACTGATGGCGGAGCGCATGGGTCCACGACTGAGCTATATCGATAGTTCCAAGTCAAGGACTTGATTTGGATGTATAATGGGCCTGTACAGATCGGTCCAGCGCTCGACCGATGCTGCGGCCACTTCGAACTGGCTCTGAATGGAGTGCACGTAAGCCCAGCGGGATGTTGATGATGAGATTTTGCTAATACACAGAATTGAGCCACGTTGGGCCACAAGGTAAGCACGTGCACCTTGCTGCACGCGCTCGCCCTAGTCCAGGTGGCGCTGGTGACGGCTCATTGGTGAGTCGAGGGATCATGGCGCGCAGAGCCAAAGCCGTGGCGCACAGGCTGGCATAAGGCGCCATGCGTACAGCCTGTGCCGGTTGGCCTGGCTTTGGAATGCCTCAGCATGTCGGCAGCGCTGCATTGAGCTGGTTACGGACTTGCTAGCCGTGCTGGCAAGTCAGGGGGTGCGCACGCCTCTAGGAGAGCACCCTGTCGCACTCAGCGGCGCAGCATCTCCGTCTAGGCAGTCCAAATCGAGAGCGCACGCGCGCCAGCAAGGGCCTTCCCGTTACTGCGCCCGAGGCGGGCGTTGGCCGCGCGGGACGCCCCCGATGTGACTGCATGCGTCAGAGCCACGCATCTTCCCACAACGCCTCACAAAGCCCTGCCTTGCACCAGTTCCTCCTCCCATCTCCCCGACTTTGTTCACTTTTCTATTGCTTCAAGATTTCATCCATGGCACAATCGCAAATACATAGTGCATGCATGACCAAGGCGTACATTTCTTCCGCATGCGCCGCCACAGGGTGTTGAATTGTGGCGAATTGGCATCAGTTGTGTTCCATGGTATCGGCGGCAGCATGAAGATGAGGTGTGCGAGGTTGTCACAGGAGAGGGTTGGATTTTGTGCATAAGCCACACATGGGCCGGCAAATTCCACGTAGACTCGCAGACGCGACAGACATAAGCCCATCCCTCCAGGCCAACTGGTGAGAATCTGGTGTCAGCTGATAATAATGTGATTGCGCGCGCGTCGACGCTCCGATGCCCGAGCACCCCCGGTAGGGCTTTGGGAACCAGCAGGCTTGGGCAGGCTGCGGCGTGCTCACACGCATGCATGCCGCAGGTGAAGTAAAACGTTTGTGGTGGTGATGATGCCATGGTGAAGCCGCAGGTCAAACTGTGACCTGAGTCATCAAGAGGTCAAAATTCTCACATAGAAAGACTTACCTGGCATTCTCATTCGCGCGTGAGGGCTGCCTCACCAACGAGCTGTGAGCGCTAGGCATCCCGCCCGGCCGCCGCGGCCGGCGGCTGGGGCGGCCGCGGCACCACCCGGGAAGCCGGCGGTGGCTCAGCTGGGGTCAAGCCCCTTGACTCAAGGTCATGAGACTCTTTGACGGCGTCCAGGAAGGCGGTGGTGTCCAGCTCGAGCGCGCGGCGCACGCTCAGGGGCGCCACTTGGATGTGGAGGCGCAGGCTCTGCATTGCGTATGGCAAGAGATCGAGGGTGGGCCATAGTGTGTGATGAGTGTGAGCAGGTGTCATGGATGAATGGAGGCAAGCGCGGCCAGCGGTGGCAAGAGGTACGACTGTGAGAGTCTCCCGGGGGCCCTGTGTTGTGCTGACAAGCAAGCGAGCGAGCGAGCGAGCGACCGGCTGGCGGCCAGGTGAATGCGGCGTGCGGGCGATGGACGGGGCGTCTTCGAGCGATGTAGCCTCAGAATCACATTAATGCCCCTGCTGTCTGCATTGGTTGTCAGCAAGGCACCCTACAATCACCAGTCCAGGGATACATATGCTGCCACAGATATGGCCAGCAGTGTGACGTGAGCGCACCTCTTCCAGCCTCAACAGCTCATCTGCGATACCCTCGGCGCCACGCGCCGCCCCCCGCCGCCGCGCCTGCTGCCCCTGCTTCAGCCCCGCGGCTGCCCCGCCGGCCGCGCCCCGGGCAGCCGCGTCCGCGGCTGCCGCGCCGTCCTCGGCGGCGTCCGAGGTTACGGCGATCCTAAGCGATCTGGAGAGGTCGAAGTACTGCAGGAGGAGGGCGGTGAAGGCTGACCCTTGAACGGACTGGGGGTTGGCCAGCCTGGGGGTAGTCAGATAGAGCGGTGGTTGGGGTTTAGGTTGACTTGGGGGGAGGGGGTTTGGCTGTGTATACAGGATAAGGCAGAGCGTTGTGCGTGCAAACAGGGGGAAGAAAGCTGATGAAAGGGTCTCGGCTGAGGGCGACGCGAGGATGCGACCGCAGGTGCGCTCGGCCCGGGCCCACGCGCCGCGTATGCACTGCCGGAGCCGGTGGATGAGCGGCGCGGCGCCAGCACCGAGGCGGCAGGGGCGAGGCGGGGGCAGAGGGAAGGGGAGGGGGCCCGCAGCGGGGGCCACGCACTGCTGGCGGGGGCGATTGTCGACCAGAGCGCCAACAACATAATCAACAAATATCGAAAGTATCTCACAGCAGGGCGTCGGAGTCTGCCTTGGCTGCCAGTGCTGTCAGGCACTCCCGCTCCTCCTCAGCTTTAGGCGCCTGCGAATGGTGGGAAGGGGGAGGGGTGTAAATGCACCTGTGCTGCGGCCGCAGCTTCAGTCTATCGGCGCACTTCCTTTATGAATTGATGAAAATAACTCAGGTTGTGATGCGGCACCTGAACCGCTGATGATGGAAGCTCATCCGTCAGCCGCGCACCTCGTCCAGGAGCTTTGGCCCAAAGACCTGCACCAGCAGGGTCCCCAGGGTCGCGCAGATCAGGATGCAGATCACGCCTGGCAGATCAGGAGGCGGGTCAGGAGGCACGTCAGCTTGCAGATCAGCATGCGAATCAGGATGCAGGACACGGCTGATGGATCACCGGTGGCCGTGGCGGCGGCGGAGGTGAGGGGTTGGCAAACGGGGGGGCGAGACGCTGGAGAGGGTCACGTGAAGGTATGTGTGTGTATATGTGTGTGTTTGGGAGGGGGGTGATCTGGCGTAGCATGAGGGGCAGGGGGGGGGATGTTGCTCAGCAGGGTCAGCCACGTACGCGAGGGTGCAGGGCATCGCTGCATGGAAAGCCCACACAAGGTCATATGATCTGCGCCGACATGCATGCAGGTGGGGCCGGCGGGCCAGCTCGTCACAGCTAGCCGGCCGTCACGCTCACGTGTGTAGTCCTGCTCGAGCATTCGTCCGCACCAGTCAGCGGCAGTTCGCACGCATAATCCATCGTTTCATGCTTCATTTGTCCACAAAAGAAGGGCGCAGCTCCAAAGGGAGAGCGCGACTCGGTGAGAAAGGAAACCGCTCACCTGTGGTTTGGATCTCGTGGCCCCACTGCAGCCACTGGTCGTAGTCAGGGGCTCCTGATTTCAGGATCTTCACAAGGTGCAGCGGCGTGCCGCTGAGCACGGCCTGCACTGTCGCCTTCGGCGTCCACGCGACGGCAAAGAACAGGCGGCTGTAGGGGCAAAGCAGTCGATTTCGTGGCAGCGAGGCGTGCAGTGAATGAGCGCTCGCGCGCGTGAGGTGAATTGGGGGTTCACTTGGTAGGTAGGTGACTTGCGGACTGGAGCAGGTGGTGGCATGGGGCAGTGTCAAAAGGGTGGCCGGCCGCAGGAGGCAAGACAAGGCTCATGAGTGGCCGTTCCCGGCTAGCAGGTGCACCCAGGGAGCTTTTTCGTCATCGCCGTGCCAAGGGGCATCGCTTGCGTGCTGCGCTCCCGAGCGCCCCTCTGCCGAGGCGCAGATGCATGCGGTTTGAGAGCACTCCGTCGGGTTCGAGCGCCCTCTAGGCCCATTATTCCCCATATTGTCCAGGCGGCGTCTCGCTCATTCGCAGCGGCGTGTCTGCGCGCCGCCGCACCTGCGGAAACTGTACGGGTGGTCCCCGGCGCGGCCCTCCTGCCCGTACATTGTCAAAAAAGTCGCGATGACCCTCACCGCCAGCCCTGCACACCTCAAGCAGTTTTGAAACCGGGGATTTTCGGCGGTTTCAGAGGAAAACGCGGACCAGATTTTTTGAGCACGGATGCAGAGCGACCAGACAGCAAGCAGCTGCTGCCTTCAAAAAATGGCGATGGGGAGAAGGGGCGGCCGACGCACCGGTGAGGACGATCAACGCGGCGCGTGCGGCGACGCCGGCGGGCAGAGCGGAGAAGTTGATGCTGGCCCCGATGGTTCCGAAAATGATGGGCTCCGCCACCCTGTTGAGGGACAATGATTGGGAGGGGGTAATGCAAGGTGGCAGGGGGATTGGGGACGCGAGTATTCTGGGCGGCAAGCAGCCGGCAGACAAAAGAGGGTCTACGGGCAGCGTTGAGCGGGGGCAGGGGCGGTCAAACGGCTTGGTAGTTGCGCTCACCAGTCCCAGATCTCTGCGATCGCTGCCTCCAGATCATCGGAAAAGTGGGGCGCCGGCCCGAGGCCGAGCGCCGCGTGGCGGGGCCAGCCGCGGCGCCACAGGGCGGCGGCCACCATTCCCAGCACCAGCGCGCCCAGGGCGCCGCCAGAGAGCATATTGAAGCGGAACTGTGGCGAGCGTTTGAATGCATGGCACCAGAAATGTACGTACACATCAACTTTTTGAATGGCAATGCGGCGTCCTGTACCCGCAATATGTTGGGATGCTTCAAGGTGGTCGGAGGTTGATGCGGCAGCTCCGGCGGTCGCGATGAGCGTGCGGCCGCCGCTCGCAGGCTGCCTGCGTGCTGCGGGCTGTATTCATGGCACTCGTTGCACCCCCTGATGGCGGCTCCCTCTCTTCCTGCAGGCTCGCTGGCACTTCTGCAAGGCGCTGAAGGCGCCCCCAAGGTATTCGCGGCACCAACTTTGTCGCGCCCAGCCAGCGCCCCTGGGCATTGGGCGCCCAGACTGGTTACGGCTGCCACGGCGTAGCTGGTGCATGACAACTTGTTGTCCTCGCACACAACCAGCCCCCCCCCAACCAGCCACAGATGTGAGCAGCCCTTCCCCACCCCTCGAGACCCCACACCACCCCATCCCCGCGCCCACCAGGAC